ATCAATTAACTTAAAATATAAAAAATATGCACATGTTACAAAAATTTAAACAATACAAAGTAAGCCTTCCACCCCTGGTCGCTGGCCACACAGTTCTATTCTCCAGAGGTAACCACTAATTGCTGATCTCTTATATTAATCTATTCTTCCTGAGAGATTCTGTGCCTTTAAAATGTGTGTGTGTGTGTGTGTGTGTGTGTGTGTGTAGTTCTTTTTGGTTATGTAAATTTACACTTAATAGCTTTGAGTTAGAATTAAGTATTTTTTGTGTTTAATGATTGTATGGTCAACGTTCAGTGTGGAATACAGAAATCACTAGATATTTTAAGCAGGAAGACAGGTCTTCTTGGAATGACTTCTGGAACAATATGGAACTGATCTGTTAGAGGAGCCAGTACCTCTGAGGCTATCACTGGAGCTCTGCCACAGCCCAAGTAGCTAGTGGACACTAGGAAGCTGAAGTAGGAAAGCTGCCATCCAAGGATTAGGGAACTGGATCAAGAAGTTGCCCCTGAAGCCACTGTTTCTTAGTACCTAGGAAGTTTCAAGAAAATAAGCTTCTTAACCAACAGCAACAGCCAGAACTCACAGCAAGGTGGCTTCTGCCTCACTTCCACCTTCTAAATGTTATGCAAATGCATCAAATGGTGGAACCGAATTCACAGCTAGCATCCTAGCAGCTAGGTAGAATGTAGGAAAAGGTAGGTAGAATAGGTAGAAAAATGTAGTTTTAAGCTTTTCCAACCTCTGCAAGCAGAAGAGAGTAGACAGGTTGAGAGTACCAACGAAGACTCTACCATTGTAATGTTATTAATTGTTCACCAATTACTTTAAAATGGGATTGAGTTGAGTGAACCAAAAAATTATGCTGACATTTCCTCAATTTTCTGATTATTTTGTTTTTGATTAGGATTGGGCCGAGCCTATGCCTTGGCTTTTGCAGAAAGAGGAGCATTAGTTATTGGTAAGTTGGTATATTTTACTTCTTAATCAGTAGCGGATAACTGAAATGCAGTCTTCACAAGTTACCTTTGCCTTTTTGTCAAATAGTTTGTCTAGGTTGAATTTCATCATTAATTTTTACTTATGCTAGCAAATTTTTCCTCCCTCAAGGCTGACTTTTTAACTTTTTAAAGTGATCTAGTTTCACAAAATTTCCAACTTAACATGTTGAATTGATAAAGAAGGGCAAGCATTTATTGTATAAAAGGAAATTTGATTATTGACTTTAGTAAATTGTGGGCTGTAATTTTTGAAGATAAAATGTTCATCTACTGGTGCAAAATGAAAGGAGAGTTCCTGTAAGTATTTAATATGTCAACGGAAAAAGGACCAAACTCTGTAAAATAATTTTAAAGAGATTTACTCTGAGCCAATTTGAGGACCATGACCTGGAGCCATGCCTAAGAGGTCTTGAGCAGTGGACTCGCAGAGGTTGGGTTACAGTTTGGTTTTATACATTTCAGGGAGACAGGGGTTACAAGTAAAGTCATAAATCAATACGTGGGAGGCATACATTGGTTTGGCCCGAAAAGGTGGGCCATCTCGAAGTGGGGGGGGGGTGGCTTACAGGTTATAGGTGGGTTTACAGATTCTTTGGCTTGTAATTGGTTAAAGACATGAAGCTTTGTCTAAAGGCTTGGAATGTTTCAACATAAGGAGCTCTTTATCAGAGTTAAGCCACTGGACATAGATTTGTTGTGTAAATTGAGGACCTGCAGGTTTGTCTTGCATAGCCTTAGGCCTGTTAATGGGTTACAAAGGATGTCCCCAAGAAGGGAGGGGGGCATGATAAGGCATGTCTGACCTCCTTCCTCCTGGCAGGCAATTTAGTTTTAGGATATTCCTTTGGTGACGAGGGGGTCTATCTAGTCAGCTGGTGTGGGGGGTGAGCCTTAAAATTTTATTTTAGTTCACAATTCCCCCCTTTTGGCCAAGATCTGTCAGAGACAGCATCTATGGCCAAACTTTTATTTTGTTCCATCCGTTGCAAGGGTGGTGTGGCTGCCTGCCCTGGGTCCATCCAGTCCCTCGGTGGGACCCTTGTGGCCAAGAGGACTGAAGAGCCAAAAGGGGGCTTACAGCCAATTAAATATTTTAGGCCAAATGGGACTGGAGGTAGACAGGCTCTCATTAACACTTTAAAATCTTCTAGATGACGTAAGAATAAAATCCAAAATGTTAAAGGCAAGGCTACAAAACTAATTTATCTATAAGTATTGATCTCTTTTTTTGGGCTTAGTGGTAGTCTTATAGCAAATATAAGCATCATTAATATTTAAGCTAAGGGAACTTAGAGACTTTTATTGTGTCATAATATTTTAGTCTCTTCAGTAATTTATACTAAGGTGGCTGATAAATTACTCACTATATCTTCTTTTGTCAAAATCTGTAACTGAGAAAAATTATACTCAGGAAGTTCTAAGTCTATAGGAAGTAGGAAAAAAATTTATAATTGGGATGGATCTTTGCAGCATGTGATCTGAAAAGACAAAGTATTTCAGTTAGTATTCCTTTAGGCTTCTGTGTGCCCCTCCTTTATCTGGAGGGTCTGAACTAATTTCATCCCTCGGAATCGGCCCTACGATCTCACACGCCCTCCTCTTCCGCAATAGTCCCTGGGCCTAGAGGGAGGATATTTGAACAGGGCTTTGGCAGATTTCGAGGTTCTAGGTCCCAGAGATAAGGTGAACTTGCTGTTTACTTAAAATTTGTCAGGACTCTGGAAAACAAAACAAAATTAGTAATGTTTAAATAAAGAGTCTTTTTGTGAAAATTTAGTTGGGTCTCATGAGGTTGAGTTAGCTATATCCATGGTCATATCAGTTTTCTAATTAAAATTAAAGTCCTGGAAGTTTGTTTTGTTTTAGTCCAAGGGTATATAATCTCTAAAGATACTAGAAACCAGTATTCAGGTGGATTTGTCAGTCCTTTTTATGACTTTGCTTGAAGAAGCCACCTTTGGACTTAGCCAGAAAGAACTACTTTCTGAGATGAATTAAAGTAAGATAATAATTTTTTTAAAGATGATAAAACTTGGACTAGCCACGGTTACAGACAATTGATAAACCAAATTGGTTACTTTTGTGGCATACAGCAATTTACATAATAACCATAATTATTACTTGACAACACACACCAAGACATGTCAATGCTTTACAATACTGGAACATATATTAATATACAAGTATAGCCCAAAGAGAGTTAAACGCCATTTCATATTCGACAATGTTCCCTGTATGGTTTTGACATACTAAATAAATCTAAAATCTGTTTTAGACTTTTAGTGGCTCTAATATATAAAAAGCTAGTTTAAGGTCAAAAGGATGGATTTAGAATTTAAATTTTGGAAAGGTTATCAAATATTAAAGGCTTAAAACATTTGTTCATATACAATCAAAAACCACTATAAAATAAGGGTCATTTATTTAACTAAGAGAGATAGTTATCAAATATTCTAAAGGTGATAAAGTTATATGGGTATAAATCTTAACCCTTTTAAAGTTAGTTTTTCTAGATAGTCAAAGCCTAATAAAGAGAGCACAGGGATTATCTGATAAATCATAAAATCTTTTTGTTTCTTTTAGTTCAGTTACCAAAATTAAAGAAAAACCTTCTGTAGTGC